GAGGGCTCGTTGCTACGCAACGAGGTTTTGTTTGACCCGCAACCAATACGGCCGCTAAAAACCGTGGAAGGGTCTATTTTGATGGCGTTTGTCAACACTACGCCCCATACACACAAACCACTCGCAAGAAACACACCATGAACGGTTAAACCTTAGTTAACTGTAACAAACAACTTGATTCGACTTTGTGGTAAGTTATATGCGTATGGGTATAGGAAGTACTTTGCATGTCCGGCTTTACACGACCTTGATAACATGGTATTACCTTCCTTACAAATTAATACTAAGACTGTTCAGTGTAGAAAATAGATTGTTGTAACAGCCGTCAATTCAGTGTCAATTCCACGTTATATTCGACCAGATCAGTTCAGTGTCAATTCCTCGTTTTATTTGATCAGATCAACTATAGTGTTGAATGACAAAACTTCGGGAGAGACTGAGCTTAGTGCACAGGAAACCTAACATTTACATTGTATCAGATTTACTTGATTAAACCTTTCTTCTTTAACATGCCACTGCTTTGCTTCGAAAACTTCTACGAAATTTCCTTGTAATCTACTACCAAAAAGTTATGTGCTTGCTATAGAGTACCTGCAGTCACGTTCCATGTGGACACCTGCCTTGGACTGTATATCACAACATCGAGCCAGGCGGTGTGCGCACTCTGATTGCCTTGCATCATGGTCGTAAAATTTTGCATCTTGATGCGTTGGTGTAAACTTCTTTGGTGGTAGCGAGATAGTGAGAATATACGTGGATTGTAATAGGAATTCACTGTCTATTGCTGTTACTTCGAAAGTTAAAAGGTTTGACGGGCCTGCACGACTCCCACCATTCCTTCTTGACGAATTTGTTCTTAGGAGCCAACTTATAAAGAAAGTTTCGAATCTGTAATCTGCCATAGGATCTCGACACAAATGGCAACAGTTACACTCACAACGATGGCAGGATGAATAATTTCAAAATCAGAAATTATATTCCTAGACGTGAGGCACTAAACGGGCCCACTGTAAAATTAAAAGAGTTGATTTGGCTCCAAAAATGTAGCTGAAACAAGTGACTTCAGTTTGGTTCTGGCCCGGTGTCAATTCAGCCCCATTGAAATGGGGCTGTTTTTGACACCAATTTTCGGGGCTGAATCAACCCAATTGTAAGGGCCAAATTTGGACCATGTGAAGGGTGAATCTGAAAAATGCTGGGGCCACTTTGGAATTTAAGGGGGGCCAAAACAGCCCCCAAAATTTCAGCCCTCTTACAAATGGCCCCTTTAAAAGTGGCCAATTCAGCCCCAATGTGAGTCCAATTCAGAAGTAGAGGGCTCTTTCCTCTGAACATTGATTCCCCCCCCCCCTTTTAGTCAAATAATGAAAATACACCGCATACTTTATCTTTTAGACATAAATATATTTAATTCTAGGTATTGTTACTGTTAAAACCTCTTACAGACTTTTCAATGACTCAGCAAATGTGATTATGTGAGGCAGCTTATCATCAAGACTGACTGAATTTTTAGAAGTACAGAAAATTATCAAACTAACACACAACAGCAACAAATGTTCCTGTTCAAGAATATAGATTTTGTTTAATTTGTGCATCTGAAAAACAATGAGTCATTGGAGCAGCATTGAGTATTCTTCCAGTGGATGTGAGAATACATGCACTTTTATATTATGAAAACATAACCTTTCATCATGTACTACCACAGGCATTTGCCAAGTCATTGAAAAAGGAGGAAACAGTAACAAGAGTCTGCCCACACCCAATTTCAAGCAATGCTTACTCTAAAAAAGTCAAAATTGCCTTTGATTAATGGTAGGAGACATAAAAAATATAAAATGAGCCAAGTAACCCAATGACAGCATCAATAATTTTTTCTTGTGGGAGCTGAGAAATAATGCTCCCCTCTCTGACTATATAGACGAATAAATATCTCCAACAATAACAATTTGTGGCTGGATGTAATCTATAACCACTGAATCAACATCCGCTTCTCTCTGCATTAAAAACAAATTTTACAACCATATTAAGAACAAGCCAAAGTGCAAAGGAGCATCAAATTACTGGCTAGTCTGTCATGTTTGGTTGGTCATTTTCCCCTCATTCAATTTTACTCAAATGTTATAAAAAATATATATATATATTCTTGAACTTGATTAGAATGTATTTCAGAGCGCTCGACTCTTAGAGGAGCATTGATAATTATAATAATTATAATTATTGAAATTACCTGATGAATGTGGTCATATTTTTTGACTATACGAAACAGAGCACAGGCACCCCAAGCTCACTACGAGAAAAGCGGACGTGACTCTTACCGTGTTGCGTAACGTTATATATTTATAAAGGTTTGTATGGGATGTTATCGGTTTGCCTTAAAAGAGAGAAAAAAATGTCTTGTTTTGAAATAAAATGGGCTCACTTTATTGCCTTGTTGTTTTCTTTGTTGATTCCGAACGTCTCAGGCCATTTTGAAGCGTTTTCGGCGAGTTAGCGCTATGTTGGTGTTCAACTGCTAAAAGAAAGACAAGGCCGGAAACCTATTTTAGAAGCGTCCGTCGCCCGAAGCGAATAATTCCGCCAAAAAATTTCCACCAGTCTCGATTCCTCCAGAAAATCAAAGCAGAGATGTTGCAGTTCCATTTTCCATTCACTCGATTCACAATTCCTCCCCCAGATCTTTCACTAGCGATACTTTTATCTCCAGATCGATAGGCTTTCCCATTTCGAATTTGGCTGGTTGAAACGACCACTGTCCCTTCGCCGATCGCACAGTATGTTGGGTAACAAAAATAAGCCCGGCGAGGGTAGCCAGCGGCCTGCAGTCCAAAAACAAACCCGTTAGCTCCCCTGG